TATGCAGAAATATAGTGTGTGAGGAACAATGTCAGATTTTCTTAAAAAATTTCATTAGAAAATTCTCTACAGCAGATTTGATTTTCTAGAATGAAAAGTTCATCTCAAACAAACTGTATCTCTTTTTAGGTGAAATATGCAGAATTATCTTGTTCATATTTTTACGACAGCTGTGATTCCATGGAAATAACGGGTTGGTCCGATCCAATGCAGTGCCGTTGGTGTGCAATGAAAAATGGCTCTGGATATGCTTTCTCGCTTGAACATGGCGGCACATGTCAGCATTATTTAGTTGAAAAACTTTGTGCGCCGTATATTGAGCATGTAAGCTTCCTTTGTTTATGTTAGTTTTTTGAAATATTCCCCGAAATTTAACGAAAGAAGAAATTGCGTTAAATCTATAAAACCCTTGCGACATGAGTTTTTTTTAAGATGGTCGCGCTTCTGCATTTAAAACTCTCAACCAGAATGAAATTCACCTGTTTCTGGCACTTTTGATTTAGCAGTTGAAGTACCATGCTGTGAATTGCATCCGGTCAAATTATTAAAGCAAAAGTGGCTAAAACTGCTTTTTATCACTTCTCAGTTCAGCTTCGTGCAGTCTTCCAACGCAGTCTGATAGTCTTGCACCGCTCGCGCAAAAGAAGACTGATTCTTTCATTTCGTGCGTGTGGTGCTAGGACAGGAAATGAGCATTCCAGAAAAAAAAAAAAAAAAAAAAACTAAAAATACAAATGGATGTTTACTCACATCTTGATCCTATAAACTGAAACTGTCACTTGTCACTGCTTGAAAAATGCGTAGAATTGTCGTGACATTAGTTATTAAAGCATGGTAGTAGACATCAAGGTAGGCCTGGAAAGGAAGCCAGGCTGAGAATTATCAGAATAGGCCTATCATGTCCGTGGTTGCTTGTCTGTGACATTGAGTCAGTACATGTGTTCTGCGAAAAACGACTTTTGGCGCTTTCTGCCTAACTTCTCGTAACTATTCAACTCCAAGACATTGCTAATTAAATATTTATAACAAATAGCTTTTTTGAAAATTCTAGAAACCCCAGTGAATATTGTTGTATTCGATCGAAACAGATTCCTGACGCCTCTCTTAGTCAAATATCAAGCTAATATTCATTTCGTCGTATCAGATAACAATGGTAGGATGAAAAAATCCTTGAAAGACGCTTTTTCTTTCTTAGATTAACATTCCAACGCCTGCGTCTTCAAATAGCACTCTTTTCGAAGTATATGGTGACAAATTCGATAGGCTGCGAGACGTTATCGCTAAAGTATGCGAACACAATTGCGCTATTTCATCGTTCGGACCCACTAAGTGAGTTTTTATGCATTTTTGCTATGCAGCGCTATAGCGCTGCTATAGTGTGCAAAAACGCGTATTATTGAGAAGTCGTCCTTTTTATGTGTTCGGAAGCGAGTGAAATTTGTTACCCACTTTCAACTGAGATTTGTCACCCAGCAACCAGAAAATTTGGAAAACGGAAATTTTGGAGGCATATTCCCATCCCATGCGTCACCCTTTCATTTTAAAAAGGTCGCTCATACGTGTCTACATCTCGCATACGGAACCCTGAAAAAATATGCATATTTCTTTAGCGGGGAACGATTTTTGAGATCCCGACAAGGTATAACGCTGAAACTTTGCAGGAATGTTCTTTGTGCATGTGCGAACTAAAGGTTTCAAATTCAGCTATCGCACACGCTTATACCACGCGTCCAGTCACGTCAGAGTTCGCAATTGGCACTGTCGGAAACTAGCAGGGAAACAGTAGCTGAAATTTTGTCAGAATATTTATTGTTCATATAGAAAATCATGTACCTATATTGTCATTTGATTTGCACTTGCACCACGGCTTATGGCTTTTCAATGATATTTGTAGCGAATTGCCTATTTCGCTTACGGACAAGCTGCTAAGCTGAAATTTGGCAAGATTATTCTGCATCCACTTGCAGTCTTAATTCAGTTTGGAGGTGAAATTCCGTGAACGCGAACATGACAAATTCTCAGTTTTACAGCACACTCAAAAGCAAGCAATTTCGCGGATTTCGTAACGGCAACTACTAAAACTCGGATTGGCTCGCCTTGGCTCACCTTGGCTGGCCT